GCATCTGTAAGAAAGCTTTCAAACACAAGCACCACCTGATCGAGCACACGCGACTACACTCCGGAGAGAAGCCCTACCAGTGTGACAAGTGCGGGAAACGCTTCTCTCACTCAGGCTCTTATTCTCAGCACATGAACCACAGATACTCCTACTGCAAGAGAGACACTCACGAGCTGCCAGAGCAGATCAGCACCTCCACTCCTCCCACTCAGCTCGACTCGGACGAGAGAGAGAGCGACGGAGAGGAGGAAGAGGATTTATCCGCTCTGGACATGAGCGATATCAGAGTGGTGCGAGTGGGAGAGGATTACGAGGATGATGAGGAGAGTGGCGGAGAGGAAGAGCAGGACCGAGGACATGAGGAGCAAGAGACAGAGGAAGGAGGAATGGTGATGGAAGTGGAGCTCGGAGATACTGACACTTTGGAGGAGGAAACCGTGGAAGCGGAGGATGCTATGGAGACGGAGGAATCAAAGGAGGAGGACACAGTTCTCACAAATAATGAAGAAAACACAGAGATGGCAACCGAGGACTGAAGGATGAATGCTCTTTTTACAGTCACTCACGTGGGACTAATGAAAGAGGTGATGAGCTCTTCATCGTAAACTTAGTCATCGGTTGCAATGTAAACTGTCTCACAGCTCTTTACTGTGTATAAAACCCAGGTGTGCCTGATTTACAAAACAATATTTCCTTGTTTAAAAAAAAAAAAAAAAAGCAGAAAACGAAACTCCAACTCAACTAGACTTCGTAGGACTTCAAAGTTTCAGTTGTTTGGCTTTGTTCCGTTACTGAACCGCCCCTGGTATCTAGATTTATCAGTGTTCACGTGTTTTTGTTGCTCTGTACAGTCAGATTTCTATACCTTTATATTTGCCAATGAAGTATTTTAAAGTTTTGAGAAACAAAACTAAATTCTGCACTGCAGGTATAACTGGTTTACTTACGGGGGTGATTCTCATGAAAACTGTCAAGGAGGGTCATATTTCACTTGAAAAATCAAAAGAAAAAACATTAAGAAACTACATTTGGCATGAAGACAATAAAGCCTATTTTTAAGACCATCACATACAGTTTTTAAAGAATACTTTAAAAACAATTGTAAATATACATTGATTTTAATTTATGCAATATGTATTTGTGTCCAGGCAGAATGGTTTTTATTACTGGATTACAGTATTTTAATCACATTACAGTAATGAAAACTTATTAATATGCTTAATTGTTCAAATCCAATGCAAAAATGCTCATTTTCAAATTAGACTATTTTCTTAATGCAAAATATAATTTTTAAACTTGATTTTTTGGGGTGAAATATGACCTGGACATTTCTTGGTGAGATTAACCACAGATACTTAATGCCTCAAGTTTAAGATACCATTCAGTATTTTTGTCGTGTTAATCAGGCAAGCTGTTGTTAGCATTGCCTCGTTTTCCCATCTGATTGTTTGTCTGCCTTATGAAGGAAATTAAATGGCACTTCACTATTAATAGCTCATTTATAAAAAGAAGAAAATTTTAATCATTAATTATGGAAATATTCATAGGAATGCTTATTATCATTTTTAAAAATGTAATCGCTTTTTGATTAAATTTAAACTGAATTTAAACTGGTTATTTGTAATGAACTACTCAACTGAATAATAATTCAAATCAGATTCGAATTCGATTTAAAAAAGACGTTTTGTAATAAGCACTCCAAAATATTTGTCGGCAACTGTAAAAACAAAACAAAAAAAAACATACTTTTCACGATCATGACACCATATGAATGAAAACAAAAGACTTCAGGAAAAAAAGTGTCAACCTCAAAAGGCAGTTTCACCTGTTGTTTCATTCATCTTTGCGTGGCTTTATGTTGTAATGTGTCAGTCTGTGTTCATAGGAGATGCTCTGCACACCCACAGCCTTATGCAAGACCGCCAAGCTGTAAGTGCCATTCACAATCATTAACACAGTGCTCCACAGTCACACCGGACAATCTAGACTTCAGCCAACTAAAGATACATAAAATGTCCACACTGCTCAAGGACCCAACCCAACAGATTTGACAAATGTACAGAAATATTCAAGTTTGTAACACTGCCCTCATTTGTAATCAAATGGCACACTGTCAAGCTGTTATAGCTCATGCTGGTTTTCAGTGTTTAGAAAAGCTGTTTTCTCTCTCTTAGCCCACTTTGGTATTGCCAGGAAAAAGATAATACAACATATGTAGCCCTACATATGTAGAATCATATAATAACCTAAAACAACTAGCCAAACCAAGTAATGAATTCAAACCAATTAGAAGCAGGTTAAGGATTATTTGATGAACGATGATGAAAGAAATATACTTGAAAGAAATGTATGAACCATAGGATTGTATAGGAGAGCACAACCCATAATCATCAGCAAGTGTTCTCTCTGTTATTAAGATTTCCAACGTGCACGGCCCTATAGATGAAACAAAATCTAGCATCCCGAAGTCATGCAGAAGGCAAATGTAATATGACTGTGAAGTGCACAAAGAAAGCAGCACTTTGAAAGAGGCGCATAGGATTAAAAATGTTTAAGTTTTAGTAGACCTTACAGTATTATTAATTTCAATGTATTTCGAAATGTTTATTCTTTTTTGTGTTTATGCATGTGTATATTGTGTAATACCATCAGTATTATTGTCATCGAAAATGGTTTCATTTGTAGAACCTTTTTATATACGTCTTGTTTTTTTGTATTGCTTTATTTATTGCGTGTGTAATACACAACACTGTAGTTTAACACAATGTATTTTAGAATTAATCTCAGTGCCACGATGGAGGTTAAACCCTGATATACAGTATATAAACCCTGATATACAGTATATAAAGCCTGATATACAGTATATAAAGCCGAACTTAACAGTATTAGTTTTATAATTTCAACTTATTTTTTAACTCTACCACAAAAAGTCAATCAGGCAGATATTTGCACCCATTGCTTCAGTTTTTCTTGACCCTTTTCCAACAGCTTCACTGTAATTAATAGTAAATGACCCTTAAACCTGTGATGAAGAGCATGGATTCATGTTGTTGTACTGGTGTTGAAATTGCCATTTTGGAACCAAAAGTAGTCAACTCATTTTGTCTGTTTGTTTTTATTTGTGCCAACTTTGCATTGTGTGTGTAAATGTCACATTTTCCATGAGGTGATAACCCAGTTTGTAGGATTTTTTCTTCCTTTGTTTCCTTTTTTTGATGCCCCATAAAATAAAATGAAGCACCAGGTCATTTCTAAATTACTTATTCATTCTCTAACAAATTTAGTGAAAGCGTGCTAATATTTAGTAATTTCCGCACGACAGTGGGTATCCAAGGTGTTTAGCGTTTCATTTAAAACTTTGACCTAAAAAATTAAAGCTTCTAATATGTAAATCTTAAAAAGCAAACAGAGTACATGTTAAGTGACGCATCATCCGCTGTTTTGAGGTTTTGTATCTAAGAATCCAGCAAAACACTGGATTAGGACAAACTCTACTATTGCAAAGACTTGCAAGAAAATGTATCCATTGGAATGGAGAGGAAATAGTTTGCAATTTCCACTTAAGAGTGAAATAAGGGAATATTAGAACAAGAAATCAGCAACAAAATGCGTCAGACTAAATCCTCTTTTTCCTCATACTGGTCAGTCTGCATCTTCATCTATAAAAATATAAACTGTCATACTGTATCAACAGCATGAAAGGAATGTTCCAGGTCCAACAATTTAGACAAGTCCCTAAAAAAAGCAAAACAAAACGGCATTTACAGTAAAAGCCTATAAGTCTGAACATTCCTTTATGAAGTGGCTGTGCTTTGATTAAATCCATATAATATAAAATACATAAGAGTTGGTTTGTATACCAGTAGTTAAATTATATGTGAGAAGTTTAAGAGCAACACATTAAAAACAAAACCAGTGTTATTGAGATATTTGCTGCACCCTGGTGGAGGGGAGTAACAACACTCAATAAGGTGACCAATTTGCCTTGTCAATTTTATTTTGATCAAGACAAAGCTCTGCAACATACAGCAGAACATCTGACGAATTACATTCAACAGCCATTTACCAAATAACCATATCTGAATTAATTCTCATTAAAACATTTTAATAAACCTGTCTGTATTAATACAATTGTGGCTCTTTTTACTCATCACACACACACAGTATGTCCATCAGACATCTTTAGAAAGAGCAATCAAGTTTTATCCACTCACAATTTCTCCTCTCTCTCTAATACAAGATCTTCACATGTTATTTTGTCTACAGCATACTGTACTCGTACATTAAATAGGCTGTAGGAGTTTTCAATGCATGACTGGGGTCTGGTCAGGAACAGTAGCGAGTCTAATATCATCATTGGGTAAAATGTGTCCTGCACACATTTCATTTCAGTGTCTCTCTAAGGACCGAAGAGGACATATGCACTCACACAGCCTGAAATATACTTGACATATATTTTCATAGCTCAGAAGTTTGTACATCCTTTGATATTGGATCAATAATCAGGAAATTGAGGCCAAGACTCAAGCAAAAGATTGTGTATCCAAATCTTAAGAGTCTACACAAAAACTCCAGTGTTTCCCAGCTGCGGTCATCACAGGGTTACAATCCATTCCCATGAAAATTAGTTGTTAGGATAGAATAAAATCCATGTCTATCATGTCAGTCAGTTGATGTGTTGTTCCAAACCATATTACAGCATTACCAAGGAAAGACGTGACGCAAAATGTAGTACTTGTAATGAACGGAAATCTAAAATGAAGCATCAGATTTCTCCCATATGCAACACGGTTTTCAGTTGGATAGAAAACATTCATATTTCAAGCCCTCGTTGCTCCAAATGAATCCAAAGATGGTCCAAAAATGACATAGTCCAATGAATTTTGGTATATAAAAATAATACGACATTCAGCCAAGAAAAAAATGACTATAATTTAGTCCAATAAAGATATGAGAAAGGATTTGACTGTTTATGTTGAACCCAGAATGCTGTGTTTTTGTCTAATACGGGTGTTCCTCTCATGTAAACGTACGTTATGTTCAGTGTTCAGTCTGGCAGCCATTGGGCTGTCGGTCTTCAGCAGTAACTGTGTCCCGTTGGGTTTGGTCAAAGGGTTCCTGTGCGTGTGACCTACCTGCCGAATATGGTCTCATATTCCATAAGAATGAGCTCAACGATCTGATTCTGGTAGACCATATGCACGGCCATATTTGCCGTCTCTACCTCTGGGCGTAGGAGTGTCGGGCCGAACACGATAGCTACACTCTGCGTGGTCATCCTGTTTTCGTCGACATGCTGGATTACTCTACAGAAAGAAAGAGTGTTGTGTGCAAACACACAAGAGAATTATAATCATTTCCATTTATGTTTATGTGCCGTCTACAGTAAGTTGTTCTCTCCATCTTTTATACTCACTTCTTCAAGTGTTTGAAGAGCGCCAGTATGGTGTCGTGGTTTGGCCGTGGCAGTTGCTTCATCAGATCTTTAACTGCCTGAACTTTCTGCTTATAATCTGGCATTTCTACACAGAAACACACATGATAGTGTTATATGAGTGTGAAACATCTCCCTCTAAACACCAGTGTTAAATATTGATCTCCACTCACTGATAGCGGTGATGAAGTTGTTGAAGAAAGCGAAGGGGAATAGAGGTTCTGGCAGCTCACGGAAAAACATCTTCAGGGCTCCAGTGGTTACGTGAATGTCCTCCCATTTACTGTCCCCTAAATCCACTTTTTCATCTGTATTTATGTAGATCAAAGTGATCAAAATAATCATCTGTTTTTATCATACATATGAGTAATCTGTTACGTATAAATCAGTATGGGTGTAAAAGATAGCAGGACGTACCGTGATTAACAGCAAATCTCAGTTTTTGTATAATGGCCAAATTTCCACTGACTCTGTACAAACCATCCACTCCTAACCCTAGAGGAGGTGAGAAAGAGAAAAAATGACAAGCCTTACAAAACATCGGAATGCATGTTAGCATGCAGTTCACAGCAGTGAGTATCAACTCATCCAGTTTACATGCACATCAATACTGTGATATTAAGCAGTCATTTTACTATCATTGATTCATTATTATTTCTATATTTAATGTTTTCACTTTCATTTGAAAGTTTTAGTAATTTTGTTGCTTGTTTAATTTTTATTAGTTTTTATTTAAAAAAAATGTGTTTATATAGTTTTTAGTCATTTTTATTTGTTTGTTTATTTAGTTTTAGTTATTATTTAGTTAAAACAAGTTTAATAATTTGTATATATTTTATTTCAGTTAATGTTTATTTAATTTTAAGTAATGAAAATGTTAATTGTTATAGTTTTAGGTAACTATGACAAACCTTTTTAAAAATTTGAAAATAATTATATTATTATTATTATTATTATTGACTGCACAACCTTTTCCATTTTGTATGTTTTCTGGCATTTTTGAAGTTAAGAAATATTCAAGGCCTAATTAATATTTTGAAAAAAGTAGTAATGAAACTAATAATAACTGAGCATACTGTACAATCAATGACAGCACTAAATGACCCAGGAAATAACAGTGGGAAAGAAAGCAGATATACAGGAATATTACGATGCTTACATGGAATTTGATGTGCATGTAACCTTAGTCAGTGACATGGGTTGAAAATAGTAATTTAAGTTTTATTAAGCATAAACATTCAAAGCTGGGGTAAGAGTAAATTTAGGATTTAGATGTAGTCAATATTCAGCTGCACATGGGCTGAACAGAAGTGTACCGTTCTTCTCCACCTGCTCAATGCACATCGAGACAAAGTGAGGGACGGTGGTACTTTCTCTCTGACAAAGACTGCTCAAACTGGAGCCAAACACCTGATCTACAGAGAGAGAAACAAACAATAACAGTCTTTGAATTTTACCAATAACTCTGTTCACCCAGTTCTGTGTGTATATGTACACGTGGTACCTTTAATGTAACCCTTGTCTTTGACGGCCTGTAAAGTGGGTCTGCCTGTGAGGAGCTTCATCAGCTTGGTCTTCTTCTTCTGTTTCCCATGGAGAAAAATCGTGATTCACATTTTAGCAAGAATCGTGCAGCCCTAGCAAGTGGGCTGTATTATAAATGAATCACTCACCGCTGATTGTCTCATGCATTTTTATTCTTATTACAGTATTGTGTTGTTAGCTTAGCAATACACCAAAAAGCTGCCTAGGTTTTGAAACAATTCTACAGAATCATTCACATAGACACACACACACACACACACCTCTGCCCTTCTTGGAGTTTCTTTGCTCTTTTTCTTTGTCATGTTTCTCAGTGTCAGGAGATTCTGGCATGTCTTCTTCAATGGCCTCATCAGACTCCCAAGCCTGCAACACAAAACACACATACAAGAATTTAGAATAATTAGAGGGCCGAGGTAATGCAAGTGAAGACATATAGATGAGTGATCTTACATATGTGTGTATGGCTTCAATCAAAGCCTTGTGCCACTCATTGATGAGGCTCTCGTTATCTGACTGCAAGAGGAGCTCCATGCCCTGTCGAGTCTTCAGCTAGACACATGAACACAATAAATCAAACAATATTTGTCACACAATTAATCACGTTTAGACATCAAGCTGTTCACCACAGCATCAGCCAAGCTCTGTGCAAAAAGGACAGGATAATCCACTGCATGACCTTAATAACAGTTCAACATTCATATCTCTTTTAACCAAATCAATCAGAGAGAGAATTAGGTGAACCAGTTTCCAACCAGCTCTTTACCTCTAGAACATGTTTCTTGCTGGATTTGTCTTTAGATGCCCAGTCTACTGAACCGCCTTTGAGTTCCACACTAAACTCCAGCTTCTGGTCTCTTCCAAACTGTTGAGAAAGCATGAACACATAAAATGCACATCAGACATATAAAACTGAGTATATCACATATGCTACTGATGATTTTCTCTCAGCACTGAACTGTTACTCACCCAACCAGTCCCGCCCCCTTGGCCCTTATTAAATAGTAGTGAAGAACCCTGCAAAACTGTCCAATAGGAGGTCCAGTTCTTCCTGTGGGCATGACAAAAGGCAAACAAACAAAACAATATCAGCACAGCATGGTTAAGCATTTGTTCGCTCTGTCAAATGAATGAAAGCATTCCCTTCCCTGTTTGCTTTTACTTACCGGACCTTCTTTCCATGTTCAGTGATTTTAGTCATGTTTAAAGTGCCACATTTCTCTGATGGCTAGAACAGAGAAACAGATGTGAGAAGAGAGAAAGAAGACAAACCTAAATAAACAAACTACAATGAGATTGATGAACAGCAAGCGGCCACAGAATCAACCAAGAACAGAGTTAGAAGAAACCTAACTTTGTCTAGTTGCAACAGAGGCTGAACCACCATAAAAGAGAAATTACCATACATAAGCATAGTGATGGTTTAGGCCTGTTTGCAGTATGTTGTACTGAGCTATTTTGCATTCTGTTCTTCAGTATTTAGTAAGGAAGCAGCACAGCAGATGCAATCAGTAAATCAATCTTATAAAATTGATAGTTTTAAAATCTGATTGGATGAGTTGCATTCAAACCACATGCAAATGTACACACACCTGTGATCACACGGTTTAATTCTGTATCAATGCACAAAACTGACTTTATTTTTTTTACATCATTGCTAATGTAATCACTTTTTAAACAGTTTTGTCATATTGCTGTGGTATTCTAAATGCATTGATCCATTAGAGGTTGTCCAGTGATTTAACCATCCATAACCATTAAAGCACTCCACTTCAAATTGAGCCAATCCAACACCCTTAAACCCTTAATGCTTGGGTTCTCATGGCTTATTGATTTATTATAAACCCACACCACAAGCACACATAAAAGCTCAGCATTAAGAGAGGAGTGAAAATAGGGCAGGGCAACAAAGACAAACATAAAGGAGGACCAGGAGGAGAAGAGAGGGATGATGCTGATACTAACAGAGTGTGGGGTTTTAGGAGAGGAGGGACAGGAGGAGTCAGAGTCAGGTGAGCCAGTTTTGGTGTCCTACACAGGAAAACAACAAACCACATGACTCATGTACAATTTTATCAACACCTGTAATAATCAGGAAAAGTAATCCACTGTTGTCAATAGTAATCAATCACTGTACCTATTAATTCGGATCAATAACGGACAATATGTAATTCAGACAGCATTATATACACTATATACCTCCATTTCAGGGGAAGTCAGGGTATTCTATCTTTGCTGGAAATCTTAAAGTAAAAATCACCCATTCTAAAACTAGACAGGACTTACTGATCATTTAATCAAAGAATGTGATTAATCACACAGGTGTAAAGCATTTATCGAATCATTAAAGAGTTCATTCAAAAATATAAATTCTGTCATCAGCTCAACTTTATGCTGCTCAAAACCATCCACTGAAGACAAAAGGTTGTGAGCAACATCAGCGTGTGCACATGATGACAGTTGAAATTTAATGGTGAACGATTCCTTCAAGAATAATACATTCATGTGCAATTTCTCATGCAGTTCAAACACATATTGTACAGGATTTGTGCAGAAATCACTGTATATACTGAAATGAGTTGCAGTGGGTGAGAGTGTGCATGCAATCATCTCAGACGACGTGATTGGTTATTGGGATATAGGGGTGAGGCAACACTGACTTGTGGCCTATAAGGGTGAGAGCGGAAGGTGCTTTTGCGGTGCGGGGGTAAGGTTCGCCGGTCTTTGACGGATTTCTGTTTTAACTTCAGTCAAACATAAAGCACATGTAAACATCATCACCAAAATCAGGATGGGAGTCATTCACATCACTATAACCAAAAGTACTGTGTTCATTTTAACCAGACCAGCATTTGACAGTGCTTGTAAATATAATCACCCCTAAGCAGTTTCATGATGACACAAAACCTAATGAATTATTTAAATCATAGTCAAGCTTTTAACGTATTTAAATAATTAAATAAATAAATAAAATATATACTGATATTACCGGCAGAAGTTAGAAGCTTGTAGTAAAACTTGTAGAAGAAATAGAAGTAGCAGTTAGATAAACTAAAATATCAGCTGTTTCAGCTATCAGCTTAAAGGGTTAGTTCACCCAAAAATGAAAATTAGCCCATACATTACTCACCCTCAAGTCATCCTAGGTGTATATGACTTTCTTCTTTCAGACGAATCCAGTCGGAGTTATATAAAAAATTGTCTTTGATCTTTCAAGCTGTTTCATGGCACTCAGCGGGTGTTGCATGCTTCAGTTCAAAACAAGTTAAATAAAAAGCTCCCATACATAAAAAAAAAAAAAGTGTCTCACATGGCTCCGGGGGGTGAACAAAGGCCTTCTGTAGCGAATCGATGCGTTTTTGTAAGAAAAATATCCATATTCAAAACGTAATAAACACTTTAATGTAGCTTGCGCTCACTCAGTTCTGGGCGGTATGAGGTCAGCTTTGCGCATGCGCCGCTCAGAAGTGATGCACATGGAAGCGCAGGGGAGAGATCAAAACAAAACAACGGTCACTAATTAGAAGTACAAAATGAGGATTTGTAAAGAAGAATGTCGGAGGATTTCGATATAAGCCAAGAGGAGACTGGTTTTCTTTTGCTAAAATAAGGAAACTTTGCTTCCTTTGCTCCTGTAAACAAACGTTGGTTTTCACGAGACTCACTGGCGCATGCGCAAAGCTGACCTCAGAGGTAATCCGCCTGGAACTGCTTCCCTTTACAACAGTGAGCGCAAGCTACATTAAAGTGATTATTACGTTTTGAATATGGATATTTTTCTTACAAAAACGCATCGATTCGCTACAGAAGGCCTTTGTTCACTCCTCGGGAGCCGTATGAGACACTTTTTTTTTTATGGATGGGCACTTTTTATTTAACTTGTTTTGAACTGAAGCATGCAACACCCGCTGAGTGCCATGAAACAGCTTGAAAGATCAAAGACCATTTTTAATATAACTCCGACTGGATTCGTCTGAAAGAAGAAAGTCATATACACCTAGGATGACTTGAGGGTAAGTAATTTATGGGTTAATTTTCATTTTTGGGTGAACTAACCCTTTAAGCACTGGGTGAAACAAATCTTCATAATAAACTGAAAAATAAGAGTTTAACCACTAAATGAAGATAAAACCATCTTAAAACTGTGTTTGATTATTTGTTTCATTAAGCTTGCCATTTGTATTGAATTTGAGCAGTTTCATTATGCATGTTGTCATTGCCTCGTGTGCAATAGGATGATGCCTCTTTGTATGCATATGCATGTGTACCTTGTCATTGGACTCGTGTAAATATACGCTGTGTCTCGTCCTGATAGGAATGGAATCAGGCAGTCTCCGGTCAAGACTACGAGTTTTGTGCGCATCTCCTGGTAGCAGAGCTGAGTGGTTAGACTAAAATAGGTGGAACAAGAAAAGGCAAGATTATTAGGACTGGTAATGAGGTATGTCAGGGAAACAAACTGAAATACTCTCAAAATGTGTAGATGCACACACAGACACACACTTTCAATTAAGCACTGCACAGGGTACTGAAACCAGGATTAGTAGGTTTTAATAAACCAAATTGAAAGGGATTTCTGGGATTTCCTGACTAGATATTTTAATGCTGATAAGCACCTGAATCTGTTGTCTCACCTGTGATTTGAGACCGATTTTAGGAAGTTCCCACTCAGATCTGGAGCCATCTGCACTGTAGTAATACAGCCGGCCTCGCTCATCTGTGTGTCTCAACCACTATATACATATACAAAAAAAAGCCTTGTAAGGCAGGTTTCGGGTTCACTTGGACTCTGATTCCTTTTCCGACACAAAGGCATATCTAAAGCCACCCTTCCACTATCTCCAACATTCAAGTACAATTGCCGCATTTCGCCTCCTATTGACAATCATTGTAAAATGAATGTATGAATATATATTCACGATTAACGTATTAGTGCAAAAATATTTGTAATTCTCACCTTGCGCTAGGGTTGTGCAGATAGACGATAGTATCGTGTATCGACGATAGTCAGAGATATCGACGATAGCAGATGTCTTTGTCGATAGTCAAGACGATATTAGGCTCATTCTCCTATTAATGTATTAAATAATAATAATAATAATAATTATTATTATTATTAGGC